TGCACAAATCTTAAGAAGGCAGGCAGGAAAGCATACTGTGTGCAAAACATCGGCCCTTTGAATAAACTTCCTGCTGAATTTTGGTCTTGTAAATAATCATACCTGATACAAAAAAATATATCTGAGGCTTGTAAGCTTATCATAAATTTTAATAGCTGGCAATTTCAGATATGATTATTAAATAACTTTAAATAAATTTAATTATACTTTTCTATGTATTATAAAAAATCAACATCTTATAAGATTATCATTTCCTTACTTTGTGTTATATATCTAATGTCTGGAACAAAACGTTTCTTTTAAATACCATAGATAACAATAATCAGAGTATTCCTCGCAAATCGAGGGAAACACCCAGAAACACCCAGAATATATGTTATTTCTTGGTACTTCTAACAAGCAACAGATAAATAAAAATAATAAAAAAAACTATTTTCTTACATTTTGTTTTTACAATTGTTGCCGGTCCTTTTACATGTTCTTTTCAGACTAGCAGCCTAAAGACTTTTAACATTTGGTCAAATTTATCTATTTTTACCACACACTTTTAGACAATTTCCGTTCTGGTTCTTGATAATAACAATATCATCATAATTGTATTTTATAAACAAAAACGTTAACGTATCAATATGGTAAGAATACGTCATAATTTATCAATGGTAGGGGTATATTGCAGAATGCAAAAACACTGAACGCAGAATGCAGAATGCAGAACGCCGAATGATGGTCAGCAGTATATAGCACTGAAAATAGCGATTGGGGCTAAGACATGACTATAGTGATTAGCGTTAAGCACTGACTCGAAGTATGGTTAGCTTTTATTTACTGTTCGGGTTGTCACTATATACCGCTGACCATCATTTAGCGTTCTACGTCCTGCGTTCTGCAAAATACCCCTGCTGATTTATCAACATAGTGGAGGGCACTATAGAGGAGCTGTAAACATCAATGGCACCTGGAATTACTATGATGGACTATGGGAGAGGCACAATAAAGGCCAGGGACTCAAACAATGTGCAGCAAATGTCCCATCTACTCCCACTGGCTTTCTCCTGTCCCACTGTGTCTATATTGCGTCAGATCTTTTATATTGGTTGGACATAAATTATTTTATGTATCCTTTAAGAACGCCACAGTTAATTCTTTCTAAGACGGACACCTTTGGGGCCTGTACTAAGTGTCCATCTTAGAGAGATGTCCGTCTTATAAAGAGTCAAATAAAAGGACTAAAGGTAGGGACTAACTGTAGGTGTCCGTTTTACAAAGGTGCCAACTGTACACTCTTTTAGAATGCCTTATTTATAATGCTGTTTACATGTAAAATTTCAGCAATGCAATATGAACCTGCACAGTACCAATGCACTTACAATACAGGATACCTCTGTATAAAAGGCTATTGTGAACTGTACCTTAGAATATGTATCAATTTACTTTCGCATACGTGCCCAGGTAGCCTATATTTAAATTATGCCCTTGGTTAAGTGAACAACTGAATGATTTAATATCTTTTTAGTTTAGTGATACTTCAAGGAAAAAAAAATATTCGTGCACAACATCTTGACAAGAAAAAATATTCATTCACGGGAAACATTTAAGAAAAAAAAATTCCTGCGGCTCGAAAATACTCCCCCCCCCCCCCCCCCAAAAACCCCCCCCCCCCCCCCCCATAACTTTTCTAATGATCCGTTCCTTATAAACGATCGCGACCACCTTTTGGCTGCATGGTTTAATAGTTTTGCGTTGTTTTTGACCCCTTGTAAGCGACCACTTGACGCTCGAGCACTCTATGTTCGCTGTATTTACCACGCCACTCACAGTATATAAAGAAATTCCATTAACAATATGGAACAACACGTATACGTAATTTAAAAATTGCATGCAATAGACCTTATTCACGATGCCCGCCATCTTTGCACGTGCTTAAGGACTGATGGGATAAAAAAGCGATGTCACGTGGTTTCTCAGGGGGCAAACAAGTGAAAAAAAAATTTTTCCAATACAAGAGATCGCAGTCAAGTTTGTTTATTCTTGACAACAGAAAATGAATAACTTTTCACATTAAAGACGATAATAGCAAAGTATGGGTGGAAGTGATCATTTTTACTTTTTTAAAAGGAGCAGCGACCGAAGATGTCCTCGTAGCAAGCAATAATGACGTTAATTTTGTCGAAACTCAAACCGTGCAGTTTGCGTGACTGAATCGTTGTTTCGTTTTGAGAGAATAAACAAAGTGGACCTCGATTTCTCGCAATGGCAAATTTTATCGTTTGTTTGCCCCCTGAAATACCACGTGATATTTGCTTTTATCCCATCAATCCTAAAGTGTGTGCAAAGATGGTGGGTATCGTAAATAAGGTCTATTAATTCCCTTCTCTGGCCCCTTATTACAACAAATCAGAAAGCTACTCCTCGTTGAACTGATGTGGCTGATATTTTTGTGGTGTTATTTCTTCAGGCACCAGGCCGAGCCAGAGTTTACCTCATCTGACTCTGAAAGAATACAATGCTTAACAGCAATGAGGGATCTCAATGCATTTTGTCGAAAATTTGAGAGAATTATAAACTTTTGAAGGGGAAATTAAGTTTCTGAGGACGAGGTTTCGATGCAAACTTCCGTCGTGCACACTGCACCGGACAAATCGAGGACAAACTTTCGACCGGTTGAATATTCGTGCGTTTGGGAGATCTGTAAACAGAACCGGTAAAAAATTTGAACACCAAAACCGATGTCAAATTTTTAGCCGGTACGGCCGAAAATTTGACCCGAACACCATAACCGTTTAAATTTTTGTATGGAAGAATTTGACCATCCCTGTGTAAACACCATAAGCGTCTAAATTTTTGTTAGGCAAACGCGTGGTTGAAAGATTCAAGCTGCTTCGTCAGTTCCACGTAAACAGAGCAGAAATACTGAAGGATTCTGTGTGAACAAAGTGATTGGCTATCACCTCAAATAGGGTCACCAAATAAAGTAAACTGGCTTCGTAGCTTCTGAGCGTTTAAACGTTAGTTGATAGTAAGTTTTCTATTCGCAGCTTGTACCTCCGGCGTAAATCTGAATGGTTTTAGTGGATTCATTTCAACCCCAAATTTTCCAAATAACTTCCCTCACTACAGCATATGTGTCCGGAATATCACAGTTCCCAGTGGGTACATCATTAAACTCAGCTTCCTCTAGCTTTGAATTGGAGCCATATCAGTACAGTCCCTGCTATTATGATGCTCCAGGAGCCAGTGTTTCAAGTTTGTCCTCATTTGTACGAAATTCGTATGCTCGAGAATCATCAGTTGTTCTGTGGAGATGACAATTTTGTCAGTCAAAGAGGCCCCTTTCGCCAATTTGAAGTTTAAAGCCCAGAGTTAACAATTTAAGAAGGATAGAGTTACCGAAAATACCGTGGCTTATAAACTCCTTACAATCGCCAAGAAATACGGGATAACATAAATTCGTGCTGAAAAAAAAAAGTGTTGTAGGAGTATTCGTAATAGATGGGAGGAAGCAACATGTCTTGTTACCAAACAGTATTTTGTAATTAAGCCCCCTTATGAGTCAAGCATGACAACTATATCTATCTTAGTATTAAAGCCGATACACTAAGCCATTTTCAGATGGATTCTGGAATATTGAGACGCTAGTAAAGAAGTGCTTTTGAAAATATTGGAGGAGGGGGAAGGGGAAGAGTCTGCTTTACCAAGATATTAAGGTGTTAAGAGGCGGTCCGTGTAAGACCCGACCACTCGAATTTCCGCGGAAAACAGAATTCCTTCATTTTTTTTCTGCGACATAATTAGTCCATTCTATTGACAAAAATCGAATTTGTTTGGCTCATAGTGCTTTTTAGAAAAAATTGGGCGGCGATTCGCCTGGACGGCCCGTCATGATCGTCTTTTTTAAGGTCAAATTTAAGCGTTTTGTTCAAGGCTCGCAAAAATTTCGCATTTATCCAAATAGCAAAAGTATGATTTTAATTTATGCTTCCTTTATTCAAAAAAGCAAAATATTTAAATTCTGACCCCCCCAAAAGGAATTATGGTGTTTTAAAAATACCACGTAAAGCGTCCTTGAAAAAAATGCGCAATCATCCTAGTTTTGAAATAAGCTTTTTTCAAAAGTCTGACGTTATCTGGAGTCTTGGCCACCCTCCCTAATCAGTACTTAAGGGCTAGTGTATCGAAATCAAGTAAAACATTTTTGGGCACTGTTGATTCCGAAGCACAAGAGTTCGATAAAGTTCGGTAATATTTTACTGTAATTGTGCGTATGACGTAATTTACGCATTTTGGTGATTCCGAACTTTCCCACTGAAAATCAAACCGAGAGAGCAAATATATTAAAAAGTGGCTTGTATTGTTCGAGATAAACTGTGAATAGCTAACAACTTACCAAATGCTACACGAACCTAGGGATTGCGAAGTTTAATAGTCGAAATTATCGATTCCGGCGTAAGTTGTCAGTCGTCTTAGTTTACTTCTAAAAAGCCGTTTACAAAATTTCACTCAATTAAATTGGTCGTAGGTTTTCATGATCAACAAAAAAAGAAAAAGCTTTTCATTCAGGTTAAGAATACAATTATTTGACGAAAGTGAGTCTTGTTTAAAATAATTACACATTTTATTAAAAACACCTGGTAGAATGCAGCCGAAATTCAAATCATCTGAACAGTGTTAATTTCCCGTCACGCTGGCTACGCGTAAATGTCAGTTTTTTAGCTTGTCACGCGTATGTACCTTTTTATTACGGTTGACAAGAAAACATGTTCTTTTCTAATTCGACTTATCAAAAAGTATAAAGGTCTTAAAACGTCTTTTCAAGTTTTTGAAAAATAACTGCCTCCACGATCTTTTTAAATTCGAGGTTGAAAAACCCTGTTGGTTACTATAATAGCGGTTTGTGCCTTAATGCGGCTGGTTACAGTCACAGCCTTCAAGAAATTCGGATAGGTTCGCTACAAGAATTTTTTTTCTATCGCGAGAACTAAAAGGAATTTCAAAGTATTTCAACATGTCCTTGAGCATAGCAACGCTGAATGTTTCAAGTTTCTTCTTGTGTGAGAGGTCACATAAACAGTATGAATCATAGCAGATAGGATGCTTAGGACCTAGGTGGGTGGCCACCTCTTCCAGGACGGCTCGTCTCTCCTGCTCTTCCTGTTCCGCCTGTACGTCTTCATTGAGCGCTTCTCGATGTGTTTTGCTTCTTCGCGAGGCCGCTAGCCTCGAAAAAAATCCCTGTACTTGACCCTTTGTGAGCCAATGTTTCCTTTCAAACATCCGAGAACTGTCTGGGTTTCTTGCAGTTCGCATATCTGCTGCCACTTTTGCGGGATCTGACTTGATGCCAGTTCTTTCTCCAAGATCAAATTTCGTTGTTAGGTACTGCTTAACCTCGGCAGGAAAACGCACAGCTTCGTTTCGGGGCTTGTGTAGAGCCCATCCAGTCTGCAAGTCACTGCATTGGGGAGAGCGGCCACTTTCATTCTTTTCGTGACGCTCCTCTCCAACTGCTTCAGGCTCGCTTCTGATTTCTTCGTCCTTTTCAACAGTACGAAATTTCTCCGCCCAGTCTCTTCTGAGCTTGTCATACACCGTATCAGAGTTTCGGCGAACTTGGCTGTGCTCACCAACATCAAGGTGATTTTCGAGTTCACTAAATTTCTTGAAAACCATGTTACACCCGAGCTCAGAACAAGAGAAAAGACCGTTGCATTGTTCATTTTCACTGTTTGTCTCTCTCTTATATACTCGAGCTTCTTTGAGAGGAAAGAAGTTCTCATGCACAATGAGATCAGTAGGAACTTGAGGTTCAGTTATGACCTCTCGGTAAGGAATAAACCTGCCTAGTCCAACGCCATAAGCTCTCCATGCTCTAATTCCTTCCACTTCAAATTTGAAATTGCCATACTTAATGAAACCTTCTATCTTATGTACTTCGAGTGTCTTTTGAGTCTCATTCATTGCGCACACGGAGGCAGTTTTACCTTGCACAGGGCGTTCTGAAAGCGCTACACGCATGTCTTTTTCAGAAACGACATCGTGTCCCTCATTGCAATATCGTCGGATGGATGATTTCATTGGACAAAGGATTCTATCACAGATATCTTTTCCATACTGCGGCTCGGAAAAATCCTACCGTGCTACTTCAATGCCTACTCGTCTTCCGGCATCTCTAACGGCGGCTAAGAGAAAGTTACTGTGGTAACAGCCTGCTTCGTCACTCTTTAGGTTCACTTGGGTAATCTGGGGATGTTCTTTCTTTACAACCTCAAGTGTGTTTTCTTTTATCAAGCTGTGCGGTCAGTCTCTTCCTCATCCAGTGTACTCGGTAGGGAATTCCGTTCAAGTCATATTCACGTCTCTGAACAGTCAATACCCAGGGTTTAATGCCACTTACACGGCTATCACGGATAGTTCAGGTACGTGGTATACATTATTTACAAGACATCAATGATCGAGGTAAGATTAGAAAAACATTACCAACAACAACTCGCCCCATAAAAGGTGATCCAAGAAAGCCTTGGATTCTGGATTCCACGGCGCTGTGGATTCTGGATTCCGGATGTCAGTGGCATTTAGATTGCTGATTCCAATCTTAAGTAGGATTTCGGACTCCTCGAGTAGAATCACGTATTGCAGATTTCAGGATTCCGCATTCCACAAGCCAGTTGTTTCTCCGATTCCGGTATTCCGATTACATACCTCACATGGCGGGAAACAACGGCCATAAACAGACAAACAAAACCAATCACTTTTTATGGAGCTAGATCGATCTCACACTATCAGGCAATTTCAGTACTTACCAGGCGACCAAACAATTGACTCAGAAAATATTGACGTATTGCTGCTTGAAAATGCAAAAGAGCAAAAGAGGAATAATGAAATGCCAAAGGGAACACGATTGGATCGGTAAAACTGAACAAGATATTGCATTCAAGTATACTTGAAAAATACCTGTGTTTCAAGTTTGTCCTTATTTGTACACAAGGCTGATGCTCTCGAGAATCATCAGTTGCTATGCTATGTGGAGGTGACAATTTTGTCAACCAAAGAGGTTTCTTTCGCCAATTTGAAGTTTAAAGGCTCAGAGTGAACAAAGAAAGATCAAATTTAGCTCTCTGTCTAAATGAAAGGCCAAAATAAAAAATCAGGCCGGATTTTTTATGTGTGTGGCTCACCACAAATCTGGTAACGCGCAAACCAACCTTTTTACACTATTTTTGAGGTAAACACAACTATCAGGCGTTATTTGTTTTCAAACCTCGGACAGAATTTATGTCACATTTTTCCCTATTTTAGTTATAATTCTGCAATTTTTTACAGAACAATCTTACAAGAAAAATTGCACTCATTCAATATTCAGGTCGATCGAAGCACGCGCTTCCCTTGCACAACAAATTATAAAAATAACATCATAAAAAGTAATTTATATAGAGAATTCACCATTAGATGGGACTGTTCAGTCAGGTCAATCTGCCATTTTGTAGTACGCAGGGTAATAATGGGCTTTGAGCAAAAACTTATTTATTTTAATTCAATTTACAAAATCACCGTCCAAGCGCCAAAACGTACAATGCGAGCTGATAATGAGGAAGAGGTCTCAGAATCATTTTCGTTTGCATTTTACTTCTAAAACGCCATATTCATTTGATACACGCGGCATTTTAAGTAGTCCTGCATGCGATGTTCACGGACGACTGAAAATAATAATTAGCAAAGCGATATGAAAGATCAGATCGATATCTTGACAAACAATCAAGACAAAAAATATTGTTATACCAAACATTTAAAAGGACACCAATTTTTTATTTACGAAGACGTGTATTGAGAGCGAAGTGTCTCTGAATATCCTGAGTCACGAATAACCCTTGCAGATTTAAGCCTTAAGTTTTAAGCCACCTTCGCCGTGTTTGCTATTATTCAAGGTGAACTCCGGCCAGGAACATCGCTCAAAGCTTTCTTTTAACAAACAATAGGATAACTAATTTTTTTTTCTCAGAACGTGTCCTTTCTAGTCGCGGTCAGAAAATGTCTAAAGACTTTTTAAGTTCTTTAATAAATTACTAGGTGACTGAGATAAAATGTCTCAAATCTTACAAATGTGCGTAAAATGACGGCATAAACATGAAACCAGAAAAAACAAAACAACAACAACAAAAACATCAAATGCAATATAATTACTCAAGCTTAACGGTCTAGATGATGCAGCTCAGAAACCCATCAAGTAATTAAGACTTTTCGCATAGTCCAGCAAGGTGAAGTAAGCTTACAATACTAAGAGTAGCTTATTTTTGACTATGACTATGACTACTTCCGATTTCTTTTTGTCGAGTGGCGCATTTCTCAGCCACAACTCGATAACCAGGCCAGCCAAAAATAACAAAAGAATGTTGATAGCAGCTGTATTTCATTTTGAAGATCCAGTGCAAAAAGACAGGTAAAAACATCAAGATGACACAAAAATCTGACAGCTTCAGCTATCAGAAAACAAGTCTCAGATGCTGCATAAATTTTCCTCATGAATCTTCTTCGCCTGTTAGTTCTTGCTCTCTGCCTTTCCGCTTCTTTCTCTTTCGCGTCCCTCTTCACTTAAAAGCAAACATGTAGATTGAATTAAATCCGCTATTGTTTGTTACCATAAAAATGTTTTCGAAACAGTTTTTCTAGAAACTGAGCACTACGGTCACAAATCCTTATGCTTAAAATACTTGCAAAAAAGTTTCTAAAGTAAACAGGTTTTTGAACGCGACGACTTTGCCACGCCATTTCTTGCCCTATTTCCCGCCAAGAAAAACGACGGTTGCACAAATACATCGCACAATTTATAACATACTCTCCCCCCCCCCCCCCCCCCCCCCCCCCCCCATCCCCACGCCCCCGACAGGCTGACACCTGATTCCCTTCCATCACCACCGAAGAGTGTACAGACGGATGGGGTACGCTGACCTCACCATCAAATTTTCTTGGATGGCTAGTTTACCAAATTTTCTTACCCATGGTGCTCCGCTAGCGCGCGGGCGCGAGCTCCGCTAATAATAATTTTTGCGAGTACCCGCAAACATACCCTGCGAGCAGAGGCTACATTTTCGCTGTAGGCGCTTGCGTGCGAAAAGTACCCTCTGCCGACAACCGTTCACTTTTCTATCGTGCATGCGCGAAATTCGTCACTCGATTCGCAAGCAAAATAAACCGTCAGGTCTGTCGTCAAATGGCACGAGATTCGCGGGAATAAAAAAATCGCAGATTCATGCAAGACTCGCGCAATGCTCTAAACCGGTCAAGAACAGGAAAAAACCCGTTTTTTTTATTTATTCGTCCAGATTTCTGGACGGATTTGAACGCTTGTCGGCAGAGGCTACTTTTCGCACGCCAGCTAACACAGCGAAAATGTAGCCTTCGCTCGCAGGGTACCACAAACATATTTCTCATAGTAAAAGGTGCGTCGTTTGTGAATTTTCCTAAGGTAGCTGTTGTTCACATGCGCTTTCATAACAAAGAAAGACAACCTGAATGACAGAACAAATCTTCATGTTAAAGTAAGCGCAGGCAACTAATACATACTAAAATGTCCGTTTGAGTCACCGAATGGACTCGTAAGACAACATCATCTCGATGACTGAAAAAACGGTTTTTCCAGAAAAAAACAAAAAACGCTTCTGGCGCATCGCTAAATTATTTAGTCTTTTCGCCCCGCATTTGGTTTTGATTTAATTCCTTCCCACGTTAACTAGATTCTTCCTTGAAAGTGGTATAATTCTAATCGTCCTCGATACTTACGCTCAGTCCATTTATATTGCTTGCAGTCTGTCCCAAGATGGCAACCTTGAACGAGACATCAGGAATTCTTACTAGTCCTTACTACCCAAGGCCTTACCCTTCTAACGAGAAATGCAGCTGGAAAATTAAAGCAAGTAAAGGAGAACGCATTGTGTTTGTCATTAAAGACATAGATATTCGCAACTGTGGTTCATCTTGCACGTGTGACTACCTGGAAATACAAAATGGCTTATCCTCTGATGGCATCTCAGGCAGGCGAAGATGTAGATCAGATAAAGACAGTGGGATAGTATACCATTCAGCAAAAGATGTTCTGAGGCTGACGTTTGTTTCTTATAGTTATACTTACTGGGATTACAGTGGATTTAAGGCAACTTACATTGAAGTGAAATATAATGCAACAACCACCGGTAAGTTGTTAGAAATCGGCTTTAAACGCAACGTTAAAGGTTTATGTGCGGGTGATCAATTTTCAAGCAAGTTAGATAAAATATTATTGTCTTATAACAGGCTTATAGCAACTGTGACATTCAAATACTTTACCGAGTAAAACAACGCGTAACTAAAATGTCGGTGAAATGCCAACAATTTTCATTTGCATGATGTTAAAGGTGCTTGGTAGCAAATCTGCTATTATTTAAGTTCGTCTATTGCAACGCTTTCGATTGAGTTTTCTTGTTTTTTTTTTGTTTTTTTTTTGGTTCACAGACAGGTTACTCTTTGATTTTGTACTATAAGGCTAAATCATAGTTTATTTCTCCTTGTTGCAGCTTGTATCTCTGGCGAATATCTGAATGGCTTCATTGGATTCTTTTCAACTCCAAAATTTCCGAGTAACTACCCTCAATACAGCAGATGTACCTGGAATATCACAGTTCCTAGCGGGTACATCATTAAACTTAGCTTCCTTTATTTTCGATTGGAGCCCAATCAGTACATTCCCTGCTATTATGATGCTCCAGGAGCCCGTGTTACAGTCACAAATGTTGCTTCAGATGATGGGTATCAGCCGTTCATGCTGTGTGGTCAGTCTCTTCCTCATCCAGTGTACTCGGTAGGGAATTCCGTTCAAGTCATATTCACGTCTCTGAACAGTGAATACCCAGGGTTTAAAGCAACTTACACGGCTATCTCTTATAGTTCAGGTACGTTGTATACGTTATTCATAAGACATCAATGATTGAGTTAAGATTACAAAAAAACATCACCAACAACAACTCGCTCCATAAAACGTGAACCAAGAAAGTCTTGAATTCTGAATTCCATGCTGTGGATTCTGGATTCCGGTTGTCAGTGGCATTTAGATTGCGGATTCCAATTATAAGTAGGAGTCTGGTTTCTCGAGTAGAATCACAGATTCCAAATTCCAGGATTCCGCATTCTACAAGCACGTTTTGGATCATTTTACGTTTCTAGGAAACTGCCCACCTATCCCTCACCTAAGCCGACATTAACACTTACTTTTATCTTAAGGTAAAATGTTGGCTCAGGGGAGGAGTAGGTGACCAGTTTCCCAGAAACGTAAAATGATCCCACATTTTTTCTCCGATTCCGGTATTCCGATTACCTTACATGGAGGGAAACAACAGCCATAAAGAAACAAAAAAATGGAGCTAGATCGATCTCACACTTATTCAGGCAACTTCGGTACTTACCAGGCGATCAAAAAATTGACTCAGAAAATATTGACGCATTACTGCTTGAAAATGTGGAAGAACAAAAGAGGAATAACGAAATGCCAAAACTAGATATTGCTAGGATATTGCATTCAACTAAATTTAAAGAACAAGTTTGTTTCAAGTTTGTCTTTATTTGTACGAAAGTCTGATGCTCGAGAATTATCAGTTGCTACGTGGAGATGAAAATTTTGTCAGCCAAAGAGGACTCTTTCACCAATTTGAAGTTTAAAGTTCAGAGTCAACAAAGAAGGATTAAATTACCGAAAATACCGTGGCTTGACGCCTTAAAATTACCAAGAAATACGGGAGGAAATAAACTCGTGGTGGAAAAAAAGTGTTGTAGTAGTATTCGTAATCGATGGCAGGAAGCAAGATGTGTAGTGTCTTACGGATTTAACCAAGGATTGAATCAGATTTAACCATCAACACACGCACCATCGTGCCAACATGTGTATTCAATCATTATATTACATTCAGAGCACATGCTCGATAATACAAACATGGGGGTTGGGGACGGTAGACCTAAATATTCATATACTGCATTCCTCCCTTCTTCGAATTACTTGTTGGGTTTAAAAAAAAAAACGAATAGAAAATAAAGCCTAGCTAACAATGTATACAAATGTCTCTAAGTGCCCTACAGAAATCCTAATACGACTGAACACTCCAAAGTGGTTTCAGTGGAAATACAACAAAACATAAGAAACGGTTCAAGTTCAGTTCAGAGTTCCTGTTCTCAAAGTCTAAAAGTTCTGCTCTGAATCAAGCTGAATAAAGCCTAAAACATAGCCTTGAAATTTAGACGGTAATCTTTTGACTCTTGTTGGACGTAAGGTGACAGAATCTCTTTGCTCCATAGTAGCATCATCTGAACGTGTGTACTCCAATGGGCCGTCCTCACTTGCTCTCTCAGAGGAAACATTTACAGTTTCTCTGGACTCTTGGTTTGATAAACTTTGTGTTGCTCTCTGAGCCTCTGAAGCATCTGTTGACTTACTTGTGTCTGATAATACATCATAATCTCGCTCCAAATACTTCTTCACATGGGTTACATTCTGTAAAGGGAGACTGTATGTATTGCGTTGACAGTTTGTTCTCTTTCTCCTGCCTCAGTAACACCTTATCACCTTCTCGAATCTCACTTTCACGTGCATTCTTTTGGCATTCTGCATACACCTTTCCCTTTGCTTTTCTCTCACCGTCGCGATCTCGAACCTCATCTTCGATGCCGAACTCTTAGAGATGGGGTAGTTTGGTCCTGATACGTCTTCCAAATAATAGTTCGGCCGGGCTCACCCCAGTAGTAGAATGTGGAGTACTGCGATACATCATTGAGAAGCTATCCATTTCTGATTTCCAGTTGCGACCCTCTGCTTGAGCGATACGTAGGCGCTTCAGGATACTGTGGTTTTGTCTTTCTTTTTCACCGTTGGCTTGCGGCCATAAGAGTGCAGTTCGTCTATATGTTCAATTCCGTTTTCCTCCAAGTACTTCGTAAAATGTTCACTTGTAAAATGCAGACCATTGTCGGTTCTTAACGAAAGGCTGCGGCTTGCATAACTAATAACCCGCAGTTCTTCTCCTTGCTCTTGAACTAGCACGGCCCCTAAGCCTACAGGGCTTGCGTCAGCGATCACCTTAGCCGGTGCATTCTTATCAAAGTATCCAAGTGTCTCTGCACTGAACAGTCGCTTCTTTAACTCATCAAATGATTACTGTTGCTCCGGCCCTCACACAAATGGTTCTCCACTTTTTGTAAGCTGGCGGAGGGGTGCAGGTACTGTTGCTTGGTTTTGAATAAACCGTGCAGTGAAATTGACCAGACCAAAGAACCTTCGTACTTCCGCAGCATTCGTCGGTTCACAGGCATCAACAACAGCCTTTACTTTAACATCTGCTGGACCAATTCCACGTGCCGACAAAACATGACCCATGAACTCCAAATGTGACATCTTAAACTGACACTCGTCTCGGTTCAGTATCAACCCCCTTCTGCTCAGTACTCGAACCACATTCTCAAATCTTTTGTCATGTTCCTCCTCAGTGGGTGCATGTACTATTACATCCTCAAGAATATTATGAGCTCCGTCACACTCTTGCAGGACTTGGTGAAGTACCATCTGGTACATCTCAGGTGCACAACTAATACCGAACATGAGTCGTTTGTACCGGTAGAGTCCCTTGTGTGTGCCAAATGTAGTGATATCCCTTGATTCGGGCGACAGTTCTATCTGATGATAGGCGGAGGTAAGATCCAACTTGCTAAAGAACTTGCTCTGGTTCAGATCTTGTAAAACTTCGTCAATGGTGGGTATTGGGATACGCTCTCGTTTTACTGCCGTGTTGGCTTGTCGCATATCCACACACAAACAAATATCACCTGAGGGCTTGGGCACCACTACCACTGGTGAGACCCACGAGCTTGGTCCACTCACTTTTTCAATGATGTCTAGTTCCACAAGTTCATCCAGTTTGGTACTCAGTTTATCACGTTAGTGGTAAGGGACCTTCCTAATCGGTTGTGCCACAGGCTGTACCTTTGGGTCAATCGGGACTATTAGCTGGAAATCTTTCATTTTGCCAACTCCTTCACATCCCATCGGTAGAAACCTCTGGTGAATTCACGTGAGCTCCCAGCTTCAAACCTCCTAGAGGAATGGCAGTTTCCTGCCCAAGGAGGGCGTGTCCCTCATTTTCATTGACAGCAAATTCCACCCCACTTAACACACTCTCTCTAACAGACACTTCTGCGGTAAAAATGCCTGCAACTTGTAGTGGCTGATTACTACCACATGCATACAACTTCTTTGAAGCCTTAGTCGACACACATGCAACCTTATTTGCTTTCACATATCCCCATACATTACGACCTATGACATTGCAACTAGCACCAGAATCAATAATCATTGTCACTGGTAAACCTCCTACCTTCACAGGAATTTTCCCATCACTTGAAATATTAGAATCATCTAAAATGCCAAAAGCATATTCACAATCATCACCCTGAGTACCATCAGTTTCTACCTGCCTTACATGGTGAGATGCACCTCCCTTCTTTCCGTCGTCTGTTTCACGCGGCCCTCCAGCTCCTCGACCACTGGTTTGCTTCTCTTTAGTTTTACACACAGCCTCAAAATGTCCTGATCCATAACAATTCCTGCACTGTTTCCCTCTCGCTGGACAACGACGATCGTTGGCTTTACGTCAAATATATCCACAACAAAAACATTTGACTTTTCTTGCGCTCGCATCCCCTTTGTAATTCGTCTTTCCCCTCACACTATTCACTTCACTACGGACCTCACCACTTCCTCTTTCGATTGAACGGGCCTGTTTTTCAGATTCCTCCATAGAACTAACAATTTCTCTCAATTGTGGCAGTGTCAAGTTTCGACCCTTCTGAAGTAACTTCCGACGGAGTTCGTGCACAAGCATTTGCTTATCACTTGATCACGAATTTGCTCATCCACAGTTGCAGCGTCTCCGAATTCGCAGGCTTGGGCTTTTTGTCTCAGTCTAGTATTAAACTGTTCGACAGTTTCGTTTGTCAGTTAACTTGTTTCACGAAAACAAAGCCTTTCATACAGAACATTTGCATGGGGTTTGACATATTTATTCAAGGTCGCCTTTACTTTGTCATAACTATCTGACCCTCCTTCTTCGGTCAACGTGAAATAAATATCTTGCAAATTTAATTCGGCAGTATGCAGCAATAAAGCCTTCTTCTGATTGACATTTTTGACTTCTTTTCCCGTCGCAAACAATTCAAACGCGCGAAGCCATCTTTCCCAGCGTGCGGAAATACACCAGCAGTTTCTGAACAGTCAAACGGCTTTAATCCTTGTGCATCGCTTAAATATACACTTGCCATCTCGAATGAACTTCTTCAAATGACCGTCCTCGTCGCCAAAATGTAGTGTCTTGCGGATTTAATCAAGGATTGAATCGGATTTAACCACCAACACACAAACCATTGCTGCTCGTGCAAACGTGTGTATTCCATTCTCGTCCCCAGAGCCACTCGGCTTAGTTTGGCTCTTGACGCAACGGAAAATACGAATTTTTTCATTGGCTGAAGGGAATTGAATGCGCAGAACAAATTTAAAAAATCTACTGCGCATAACAGTTTATATCCTGCCCTTTCGAACAGCAAACATGAAATGCGTGTCTGGTTTACGTCGATCGCGACAATCCTGTTTTGTTAGCAAGTGAATTCTGCAATGCAGTAGCAGTGAAAAAGAGAATTGAAGGTCAAGTTTGAGAGGTTTCAACGAGAACCACGAGCCTTAACAAAGAACTTTTGCCTTCGTTGTGGGCTAATAATCTCTCGCGTTCGGGATACTGAAAGGAGAAGTGAATGGTTAGCCCTTGCTCACATAGATTAAAAGTTAAAAATCGAGCAATCGACCACACTTTTTTGGCGTTATTAAATACGTATTAAATATAACCAGTCTGTCTAATTCTTCTGGATATTCGTCTGTGCTACAGTAAGAGAGGAAATCAAGCTCAAGGCCTACATTACAGAAATGATGTGTACGTAATAATAAGTTTGTTACATTGTGCTTTTGATTTATTGTTTTTTTCTGCTGAAAGTACATCTCCTTTGTTATACTAATAGGTGAAGATAATTTTCTGTTACAAGCCTTTGAGCTCTGATGTCAGTGTACAAAGCCAGAACTGAATAGCTTATGAATCTTTTGGGCTGCATGCATGCATGATGATGATGATGATGATACCTTTATTAAAGCGCCAAAAACTGTAATAGCGGTGTATAACCACTAAGTGGGGACACTAAAATAAATTAAAAAAGAATAAATCAATTAATAAATTAATTAAAATTAAGAAAAACTATGTACAGTATGAGCAAGTGAGAAATTCGAGTGAACTATACCTAATATGTACAAATGTATCCATTATCTTATAAAAAATAAGAAATAAAAGATTAAGAAGTGCAAAGAGAGCAGTTAGAGCAGTTATTGTCATCTAATAGCATGCTAAGATCCACTTTTCTGATGTTATATTTGAAGGAAGACAACGTGGAAGCTTTTTTCACGTTACTGGGAACAGAACTCCATACCTTTGGGCCCATATACCTGAGCGAGTGCTTTCCAAAGGAGACTGTGTTGAATCTGGGTATAGTGAAGTCATGATTGCGCAGTTCATACTTAATTGCAGGCTGTTCAAAGAGAGTGCTAATGTATGTTGGGCACACGTTGTTTTTAACTTTATACATGAGAATAGCTATGTCCTGTAGTCGCCGGTTGTGTAGAGTAGATAGCCCGGCCGGTCGTGTAGAGTAGATGGTAATTGACCAGAGGACGAATGTTTATCACAATATATAGCCCTAAGTGCTCTTTCCTGCATAAGGCAATTTTTTTGTAAAGATGATAGGGCAAGTACTCTTTCCAATCTACATTTTCTTCCGCGGAATTAAATCTTTAATCATGTTTAGATAGTTGTGGAAGCCCTCTGATAGTGTTTATTTTAACAGTAAGAACTAGCCTGTGAAAGGAAAGGCTCTGTGGCCGACTTGTTACAAGTGTGTTGCAAGAACATATTCTCATCCTAACAGTCCTTTCTTGGCTTCCAGTCATGCACCATTTAGATAAAGACAAACAAGGGCCTCTAGGGTGATTTATAATGAACAGTTAACAAAGAAGCAGCTATTGCACAATTTTTCTTGATAAACAACATAATTATTTATCTGATCACTAAATAAAATAGTACAATGTGCTAAACAATTTGGTTTTAAAGTTCTAAAACACAAGAAAGCTTTTAAGAAACTGTTTAAAATTAGGCATATATTATAAGAAAACGGGCCTAATGTAGATTTATTGCAATGTTATGGACAACTGAGTTGTTGATAAATAAAATAATAAATGAAAAACAGCCAAGAGTATTCTTTTGCATCATACTGCAGGGGCAAGTGGTTGTTGATGATGACAACTGGATTTTGCAGTATGTCACCTTCAACAAGGGTGGGTAACATAATAGCTTGAGCAACAGTAATATTCTAGTTTACTAGCTATTCCTAACATATGCATATGGTATCTTAGTTTACTTGGTTATTGACATATAATGAGCCAAATTAAAACTTGCTTCCACTGGTCATTGATTCAGTTCTAGTAAAACTCTTTCATAGTCGGAGAACCTCATATTATAACACAAAATAATCAAGTTTAAGTGAGCGAAACAATAATTACACAATTGTAGCTCTGAGCAGATATTGTACTTTAACTCTATAAAGTACCACATTCAGTTTCAATACAACTGTACTACATGCAGTGTGCTTCTTGCCTTGCCAAAGTTTGACCAAACTATGTCTGATTTCAGGTCTGATCCAAAATTCTATCCCCCAATTTCAAACCAGGCCTTGCACTCCACTTTCAAAACAAGACGAGCGCAGCTACTCAAGAAAATGCTTTTGGGTTGTGTGATACTCAAAGTCTACTTCTTAAGGGGGTCTTCTAAAGCATACGGTCTATATAAAGCGTATATCACTCTACATTTCGTCGTTCCAGATAAGAAAGTACAGCTAAATAGCTTATGATAACCTGTTCTAGGCATTCAGATAGTGAGAAGTAAACAAGAAAACAAGAAAAAATGTCCCTCCTGGTTATAAGCCCTCCCCCAAGCTTCCAATATTTCATTTAGAAGCTCAGTTAAAAACCAATAAATGCAGAAAGTAGTTTGTTTCAAATCGCTTTTTCTATTCCAGTTATATAGCCCCTAAAAAAAAAAAATATGTGTCCTGAACTTCATGGCGATTAGTCACTAGACAATCAACATTCCTGAAAATTTTCACGTGTTCACGATTTTCTCAGTTTGACAGCAAAATTATTGAAAACTCTCTCATTGAGGTATTGATGATAGTATTTAGTTAGGAGATGATAACTGAAATCTTTACTGTAATTAGGAGGATAAACCTCTAATAGATAAAGGTCCCTTTTTGGTCCTTTTGCAAAACACTGAATGGCCACCATAAGCACCAAATGATCCATTGCCGGGTTAGCATAAACGCTATTAAAAAAAATTAAAACCTACCAGTCGACACCTCAAAAGGAAAATAAACTTAGGAAAAAACACAACCAGTTGGAGTGAAACGAATATATACATTTTATTTTCCTGTCCACTTGAATCACACAACACATGAATTGTTTCGTTTCAAAAGACGTTTTGAAATGAGATAGCGTTTGCAGGACATCACATGGAACAAGATACCTCTTGCTTTCCCAATGTTTGTTTTCGCCAAACGGTGAACTAACATATTGCACTCAGACGATAATCTGCCGATTAATTGTCTCAGTTCTGCGACCCAACAGTGTGTTCAGCTGGTTTTTGTTAATGTCTTCTCCTTTTGACTCTAAATTATCAATGAATCCTAGTTGAGCGAAAACAGCCCAAGGAAGCCACTCTCGGGAGAGAGCTCAGGAAGTAAAATTCTTGCCCCAGAGGAGCGATGAGGGACAAAATCCGTTATGAGCATGAGCAGTGATATTTTTAACTCCTGTACTTGCGTGACCGCATGTCAGAAATTTTCTGACATCTGCTAACGGCTGCTTCCAGAGCCCCTCGTTTCAAGATCACGTCACCAAGAAACGACGGGCTCTGGGGACGAGAGTGTGTGTATTCAATCACCATAACAGTCAGAGCGCATGCTCCATAATACAAACATTGGAGGTGGGGACGGTACAGCTAAATATTCACATATACTATAAGATGTTATGTTAATAAGCAGTATTTTGTATTTTGTAGGGGGCTTATTTTGTAGGGGGCATCTGCTTTACCAAGATATTAAGGCGTTAAAAGAAATATACTCCAAGAGATATGTGTAATATTCTTTTACAGTCTGTCCAAATATGACAATCTTGAATGAGAGTTCAGGAGTCATCACCAGTCCTTTCTACCCCAGATATTATTCTAATAAGCAAAGCTGCAGCTGGGAAATCAGGGCAAGAAAAGGAAAACGAATTTCATTAACTATTGAAGACATGGATTTTGAGGACATGGATATTGATTCGTCAGGTGATTGGGCGTGCGGCGAAGGATGGTCTTGCTCTTGTGGGTATTTGGAAATTCAAGGTGGATCCATTTCACGCTATGATGGTCCCAAATGGCGTTTATGTTCCGTTCCTTTAACAGCCAACGCAACAGATGTTTGGTTTAAAGAGAGAATTAAAGTACTATTTGTCCCCGACAGTACTTTAGGATGGGGCTCTAGATTTAAAATATCATATACTCAAGTTACCTGCGGTGTATCTGGTAAGGAAATACTGCTTATTTCCTTTTGTGGAAGTGAAAATGACAAAACCTTAACGCCAAGCTAGGCATACATCTTTCACTTAGGATTCAGATACCGAGAAGATGTTTTTTTTGTTTTTTCTTTTGTTCGTTTATTTGGTTTTAACATTTGGGCAATTTGCTTATCATCTGGGTGGGGCAAACACTCCATTTTCTCTGTGGTATGTTTTGGTTGGTCACTAGTAAACTTAGACCGCACATGGTCGCCTAAAGATCTGAATACAAGGCGTTTCTGGAGAAGCAGAAGTATTTCTTACCTACTGGCCCCAGTTGTTAAAAAGGTGGATAACGCTAGCTATCCACCTGATAAATCACTATCCACTGGATAGTGCAATTGGTTTCCCTAACACTGATCCGTTGGATAGTGATTTATCCAGTGGATAGCGCTCCAAGTTTTGAACAACTGGGGCCAGAAATACATCTTATCCCACGTTTCTGGAGAGAAACATATTTCTTTTTTTGTTTTGTTTTCTTTGTTTGTTTGTTGTTGTTGTTGTTGTTTTTTTTTTCATTAGAGTTTCCACACAAAACCACAACAAAAGTACCACCTGCAAGTAAGTATCCTATGACGATTAAAGTAGTACAGTGACAAGTTTCTGATCCTACTACAATTTAGAGCTCGCTTGAGAACTGATCACGGTTTGATAAAGTTCCTGGACGCCAACTATCAGGAATTAGATAACAAATAAATAGCCTCTGGAACCTAGGGTACCGAAAAGCTGTCGCGATCGCTAAAGAGAGGTGGTCGTTTACACCAGGTTCTAATTCCAGGGCTTTGACTGGGAAAAGTTTTAGCGGTTTTGATACATATAGGTGGTTGGTCACTTACGAGAGGTGGTCCCAGATGGAGGTTTGGACGGTACACTAATTTTTGGCAGTTTATGATATCAGCCAGGTAACAGTTGACGTCGAAATAGGCTTTTCGGATGTTATAGTTTCGGGGCTTTTAGTTGCCGGTATTTGTCCACTTTTAGTATAACTTAATATGTGCCGGGCACCTGAAGTGATGTGATTTCTATTTTGAATAAATCATAAAGATAGAGATCACAGGTTATTTATGTCCATACTGTTAACTGCGATTTCATGTTGCTCCCGATAATCCATCTTGGACAAACATGACTTCTCAGTTTAAGCAGATTGAACTCATACTCTTACGATCTTGGTAAAAGTATCGATTTCAGTCTCTAAAACACGGGCCAGGGCTAAAATTTCAAACTTCAAAAGCTTGGAATAAGCTTGGAATAGATAGCTGGTTTTTGAGACTTTGCAATCACAAGGTAGACAAAGTACTGAAAACCATGCAATTACAATTACTGGTAACGTTGAGGAAATTTGTATTGAGTCTATACTTCTGACGTAAAAGGCTTTGAATAGAAGTTTCCGCTTGTCAGATTCCGGAGTAGTGATTTTTAACTGCAGTGTAAGTTTGATTTCACCTCCATTTTTTTTATCCAGTTTAAAAGCTCAATGCAGATTTAAACTTGATAAAGGTAAAAATCTTTTTTATTAAGTCTATTTATCAAGTGGTAAAGACTTAAATTTCAAGATCATATGGTGGATCATCTTGCATTTAAGCTTTTGTTATGCACAAAAAAACTTTGATTCAAGTCTCCACACCACAAAAACGGCTTAGATTGGATTGATTAAGGAAACTCAAATCTGACATGGTTGAGTACCATTCAATATTTCTTAATCGTGATCCTTGTTAAATGCTTTTAAAATTTTTGATATTTTATCTAATCTACACTTATATTGGCATAGTGTAAATGAAAATTGTCTCTTCTGGTTACTCCATATGAAAGCTTAAATTAATTGATTGAAATATTTCCTCGATGAGCGAAAAATATTGCACAAATAGACTAAAAGAAGGGTTGTTATAGGCAAACTAATAGCTCGTCTGCTCTACATTAACTGATTAAGGGAAGAAATGTCTAACACGAAGAGGCTTCAATTCACAGATCTGATCAACATTGGAACTTTGGGCTTAAAGAGATATTTTTGTATTTGAAATGTTTGGATAGGTTGTTTCATCGCTTTATAGTAGACAATTGAAATATATTTAGTTTGTCGCCATCTCTAAGATATAACTATTTCCTAACACTAATCTATTTCCTTTTCATTGTTTGTAGGGGTGATGTACAGTGAACTTGAGAATCGGAGCATTGTTGTTGTAGATATTGATAAGTAGATAATTGACAGGAGTGGCAGCATGCGTCAAAAAGGCTGTTCAAACTCAGGATTTAAAATTCTTCTCTGATCTACAACCTTTCGTGTACAGTTCAGTCCAGTTTTGAGGCGCAAGAAAAGAGATAAGATTGAGAACGAAAACTGAGTAAAGGGAGACTGCGAACACTTACAAATTTTTACCCTTCCCTGTTCGCTTATTAGGGTCATGTAGCAGCTGCTCGGGTGAGAAGTCACCAACTGACCCCCAAACAATACTGAAACAATTGAAATAATGACATGTCATTGTTTTCTGCGATCAATCAGGAGAGAACTTACGAGCAGCCCTACACAACTAGCTTGTTTTAGCGAGTATTGTTTTATAAGACACACGTAACCCTTCTTCTAAGGTAGCCTGTTCTAGGCTCTCAGATTGTGGGGATGACCCATATACATGTAAGTGAAAGGCAGGCGAATAGGGTTTTGATTGTAGTGTGCCAGTCCAGCAACAGATTTCTCAGCTATCTACCATAAAGAGTGGATGCATAACAAGGGGTGGTTTGCAAAGAGTACAGATGGCGTTTCGCTAGAAGTATCTTGATTCTGCATTAGTCACTGGAAATGCAGAAGGGTGAACACGGGGCCATGTCAGCCTGAGAAAACAGCCGACATTTCGAGACGCCACCACCAATGGTTTCCTCCCACGAATTGACGTCTGCGAAATGACTCCAGAAAGTGTCACTACCCAGATTTGGGTAGTGATTCTGATTGGTCGAACCGTGAGGGAAATTTTCTTCAGCCAATCATAAGCACTACCCAGATCTGTCATCAGTATGGAATTTCTGTAATCGTTTCTTAGACGTCATTTCAGTCACGCAGAAACTAGTGGTGACGTCCCGAAATGTCAGGTATTTGCTCAGGCTAGGGCTATGTATGCTATTTACTTGTTGAGCTTAAAAATATTTCATTTACATTTCTTTGCCTGACTAAGGAATTATTTTTGTTTTTATGTTTTTTTTTTTATTCGTAAGAAACAATTAAAACTTGAAGTCTGCAGAATTGACAGATCTTGACAGTGTGATGCATTGGCATGGTTCACTAACTCAGCCACCATTACCCTCCGTAGTTTATATACTCATGCTTGAGGTCAGGTAAGAAAAAAAAAATCACTCGTGTTGTTTGTGACCAGTACAATTTTGAGAAGCAAATCAATGCATTTCTGAGCAAATGGTGCCTTTGTACTGCAGCAGAAAAGTGGAACAAGGGCCAGCCAGTTTCATTTGAGACGTAGTATAATGTATATCATGAAAGATTAAATGGGTGTGGCGTACCAAGGCTCGATGTCTAAACTTGTACTGAGGTTCCCGTTGTTAGGGCATACATTAATATTTACATCTGTCCACTAGAGAGGATCACATTAAACATTTACGATCTCGTCGACCCTATGATGGTTAAGGGTGAACGGGACTACAAACGGAAATCTTTTGACAGCTTTTTCAATGTAAGTGACATTATTTTGATACCATAAGTCACCCATTCGTTTTCCTTTCTAGGCACTAATGCAAGTGGCTGTACGGGATTGGCCTCTGCAGCGTTAACCGTCTATGAATTATAAAGAGTCAACACAGCTATTGAAATGGATCCTATTATAAATGCACTGTAAATATCAGTATTTATTAAATAAAAGATACTGACGCCAAGTTGAACACAATACTCTCTATTGCTAATTACGATTAAAAGCCTCGTAAAATTTTATTTGGGAATCAGCATCTTGTAGCAGTTTCAAAGAACGCTGAGTTAAATCTCAAATTTTTCATGGCATTTACTCTCAGCAAGTGTGTGATCACATTCCAACAGTTTAACTTTTTTTTTTTACACTGCTGTTCGTGTGTTCAAAGTAATAAACTGCGGATAAATAAATAATAGAATGCAATTAGGACTCGTTGTGATTTCCGCTTTCTATGGAAAGTTTTAAGTTCTACCACTTACGTCAACATTAACGTGGATATTGATCTGAACTGCAGTTCTTTTTCTTTTTCTGGAATTAGCATGGGCATAAAAGTATTTTCTACTAAAGTGTACAAACGGAAACGTTCCAAGGGTTCTTTTTAACTTCACTATGAATAAAAAAGTTTAGGGGACGAAAAGGAGGGGAGGAACCCGTTGACAGTTTTTCGTATTTCTTGTGGGGGGGGGGGGGGGGGCCCCCTTTTGTGGCCTTTACGGGGGGGTTGCCCCCCAAAGGGATTTTTTTTTTTTTCTAAAAACGCATAAAAAAAGGGAAGAGGTTGGGGCCCCGTGGGTTTGGGCCCCCGGTATTCACATTTTTTGTGTTTCCCCCCATCTGTAAATAATTAGTGTGATTATTATTAACTCTGGTTTTTTTTTTTTTTTTTGGGAAATGAGGTGGAGAAAAAAATTTTTTTTAAAAAAGGGAAAAAAAGGAAAATGTCCGAGGTTTTTTTTTAACCTCAAAAAAAAAAAAAAATGTTGGGGGGAAAAAGGGGGGGGGAGAACCCTGTTAAGTTTTTTTCTTTTTTTTGGGGGGGGGGGGGGGGGTACTCCCTATAGTGGCCT